TATTCAAATGAGTTTTTTCCCTGTCAATAAGTTTATTTTCGTTTGAAAGTATGTTTCTTAAATCCTTTGTTGTTGTAATGAATTATTTACAGTCATGTTTTTTTCATCATATTTTAAATCACTTACAGAAAATACACTTTATGACACTGTAATGAAGCATTATGACCATCCTGTGTCACTTTACTTGGACTAAAAAAATACACTTTATGACACTGTCATGAAGCATTATGACCATCCTGTGTCACTTTACTTGGACTAAGAAAATACACTTTATGACACTGTCATGAAGCATTATGACCATCCGGTGTCACTTTACTTGGACTAAGAAAATACACTTTATGACACTGTCAAGAAGCATTATGACCATCCGGTGTCACTTTACTTGGACTAAGAAAATACACTTTATGACACTGTCAAGAAGCATTATGACCATCCTGTGTCACTTTACTTGGACTAAGAAAATACACTTTATGACACTGTCAAGAAGCATTATGACCATCCGGTGTCACTTTGCTTGGACTAAGAAAATACACTTTATGACACTGTCAAGAAGCATTATGACCATCCGGTGTCACTTTACTTGGACTAAGAAAATACACTTTATGACACTGTCAAGAAGCATTATGACCATCCGGTGTCACTTTACTTGGACTAAGAAAATACACTTTATGACACTGTCAAGAAGCATTATGACCATCATAATCATATAAGCCAGATAGGCCTATCACGTACAGGCCCTTATATCAGTCATCAGTCAAAAAGAGGGTGTCTTGTCTTGCTCCTGAAATCTGCTCCTGCATTCATCCCAGTCATCAGCAACAGAGCATTGGGTAGGTGCATGTCTGACATCAATGTGTGCACAATGACAATGTTAATTTAATATGGTCAATTTCAGAAAATGTTATATAACATAAACATACTGTTGACAGGTAGGCTATGATGTAATGGAATGTTTTGCCTTGTGTGGTAGGTTTTGTGGGTTTTTACACTCTTATGTAGGTGTCATAACCAGCCATAAAATAACGCAATAAGTCACAGCAGGTTTAAATATGTCATGACAGTGTTATGACCATATTATAACAGATTATGACAAGTTATGTCAGCTGTTATGACATATTACGACATGGTTATGACCACGTCATAACGTGTCATGACACTGGGTGTCAAGTAAATTGTTACCACAATGGTAAGGTATGAGAGCCAAAACTCAGGGAAAGGGAGAGGAAGTGCAATCCACATCGCAACACAAACTAAAGTGTTACCAAAACCATTATTATATTAGAAACCGTTATTATATTCTATGAAATAGAGGAAAATATCTTTCCTTTCTTCAAGTATCAAAACCATACTGCTCTTCTGCTTTCTTTCTCTCTCTCTCTTTCACTCTCTTTCTCAATTCAATTTCAATTTAAGGGCTTTATTGGCATGGGAAACATATGTTTACATTGCCAAAGCAAGTGAAGTAGATAGTAAACAAAATAGAAATAAACAATAAAAAAATGTAAGTAAACATTACACTCACAAAAGTTCCAAAAGAATAAAGACATTTCAAATGTAATTATGTCTATATGCAGTGTTCTAATCATGTGCAAATAGTTAAAGTACAAAAGTGAAAATAAATAAACATAAATATAGGTTGTATTTATAATGGTGTTTGTTCTTCACTGGTTGCCCTTTGCTTGTGGCAACAGGTCACAAATCTTGCGGCTGTGATGGCACACTGTGGTATTTCACCCAATAGATATGGGAGTTTATCCAAATTTGATTTGTTTTCTAATTCTTTGTGGGTCTGTGTAATCTGAGGGAAATATGTGTCTCTAATATGGTCATACATTTAGCAGGAGGTTAGGAAGTGCAGCTCAGTTTCCACCTCAATTTGTGGGCAGTGTGCACATAGCCTGTCTTCTGTTGAGAGCTAGGTCTGCCTTAGGCGGCCTTTCTCAATAGCAAGGCTATGCTCACGGAGTCTGTACATAGTCAAAGATTTCCTTAATTTTGGGTCAGTCACAGTGGTCAGGTATTCTGCCACTTTGTACTCTGTTTAGGGCGAAATAGCGTTCTAGTTTGCTCTGTTTTTTTGTAAATTCTTTCCAATGTGTTAAGTAATTATCTTTTTGTTTTCTCATGATTTGGTTGGGTCTAATTGTGTTGCTGTCCTGGATATCTCTCTCTCTCTCTCTCTCTCTCTCTCTCTCTCTCTCGGATAGCCATAATTATGAGTTAGTTAGAATTTAATCTGATATTGATGTAATATTATGGGACAATTAAATTGGTCTTCGTGTCTCATAAGTGCAGGTGTCTGTTGTATTAAGTGCAGGGCAAAGGATGAGCCACTTATTTACCACTATCTAGCCGGCTTCTATGAGCAGCATGTACATTACTGTGGCTCCTCTCTGAGCAGCATGTACATTACTGTGGCTCCTCTCTGGTCAGCATGTACATTACTGTGGCTCCTCTCTGAGCAGCATGTACATTACTGTGGCTCCTCTCTGAGCAGCATGTACATTACTGTGGCTCCTCTCTGAGCAGCATGTACATTACTGTGGCTCCTCTGGTCAGCATGTACATTACTGTGTCTCCTCTCTGGTCAGCATGTACATTACTGTGTCTCCTCTCTGAGCAGCATGTACATTACTGTGTCTCCTCTCTGAGCAGCATGTACATTACTGCGGCTCCTCTCTGAGCAGCATGTACATTACTGTGGCTCCTCTCTGAGCAGCGTGTGCGTTACTGCGGCTCATCTCCCTGCTGAAAGCGATGACTGGGAGTAATTTAGACCTCATCCAAAGACAGTTTAGACCCTAATCTTCCATAGTCAACACCGCTCACAGGCGGTGATGAAAAATAAAATAAGAGGGGGAATAAGAGAAATAAAAAGCAAGCTTTGATCTACCTGTACTACCTGACATAAAGGTAATCATGAAAGCAATTAAGCTGAATAAATGGAACGGCGTGCGTGGAAACAGTAGCTCATACGTGGCGTGCCCTAGACCAAGCAAGGACATGAGCGTTATGGATAATGTTTTATGAAAATGACCCCTATATTTAAATGGCATTCTGTTATGTAGCGCAGGGAATGGTTAACTACCCTTTTGAGTAAATTAAAAGGCATAAATTGTGTTTAGCGCCGATGCGGGCTTCGCTTCATCCCCCAGGCAGAGCAGGACAGAACAGCCTCCCTTAGAGAGGGGAGGAGGAGGAGAGAAAAAAAGCCTTGGGTTGCTTTTCATAAATTCCCCTGCTCGGATTCTATACCCAAAAAATTATTTGCGGCCAAGGCAGCTCATTGTTATTCCACCAGGATTGATGTTGGTCATTTACTCTCCTGGGGAGTTAAGTGCCCCTGTCATTCCTGAAGAGCGTAATTGGGAGGTTCCACAGGTCAGCGCCGGTGACAGTTTTCTCTTTTGATTAGTGTTAGAGTGATAACAAAACCTACAGGCTGGGTGATAGATGAGCATGTGCAGGTAGAGGCTCCAGGCAGAGGAGAGGAGGAGACCATCACACCTCCCCTCCTGTCCTGAACCAGGCACACCACCTTCTTTGTTCTCAGCAGCATCTTCAGACAGACAGACAGACAGACAGACAGGGGCCATGGACACGGTGGCCACCCATCTATACCTGCGTTAGTTTCATCCAACTCGTGCCGTGTTGTCTGAGAAGTAGGACGTAATAAATAGCCAAGTGCACTGCCTGAGTAATCAGACAGATTATGGCTGGAAGCCTGATACCTAGGCTGGTGGTTACCACCTAGTCCTCTCAGCTCTTGGTGAGTAGATCTCCCAAAAGCGATTGTGTTGAAGAAATACAGCTTGCTGGCTCAGAGGTGAGAGCCCTCCATATTGCTTGGTGACCCGGACTTTCTCTGACTAGCCTGTCTCAGGTTTCTTATCAGCTCCACACACAGACACCTCTCCCACAGCTGTGAATCAGGGCCACAGTACACTTATCACTCCATCTGTTGGACAGCCTATTGCTTCCAACAGTTTTATTTCCTCTTCTTTCAGGAATAAAGGATAGGCTAAGATTCGCATGTTTGGGTATTAGGTGAGTGGATTGGCCAGAACAGACAAAAGGATGCTCAACAATAGAGAATTTGGTTTGAGGTGCTTATGTGCAAACTGGGGAAGGGAGGTAGTTGAGCAGGTGTATCTAAAGGTTAACAACAGCCTTTAAATACCTTTACAACTAATACATGTTGTCTTTTAAGATCATATGTAGACTTTTAAGTGTCTGTTTGCAAAACACTACCTTTGTCAATCATATTGTATCAATTACAGTTACTTGTGAAAAATAATTAAGTTTCCTCCTTTAGAAACACTAGGTAAATCTCCCTCTCTGTCTTCCTTAACCTCAATGACAAAATTAACTAAACAAGCGCTGTTATACGCAGTGACAATTAGATGGGACAGTGGTCAAATAAACCACCACGTCAAAAGGAAGAAGAAAAAAATTGGATGTGGTCAAGTGGAAATTCCATTAAGGCTTTGAATTAAAATGTGAAGACGTCCCACGTTACTGCCGAGTTGGCCGTTCGGGGCGCTGTAAATCTTGTGAATACCCTGAGGGCCGTGGGGGATACCATTTGAGTGATAATCAGCAGCCAGGGAACTGCTGATGAGGTCCTAATTCCTTTGTAACCTGTCTGCAAACAAACACAGAGACAGAAGGGAGGAGAGGGGGTGGGGACAGGGGACAGGGGACTTGAGGAAGACTGGGAGAGAGGAGAGTCTCGGTTTACTTCTAGTGATGCAGGGGCATGGAGAATACGGACAGTGCTGTTTGATTATTGTGGTCCTAGGAAGAGGCCTAGTTTTATGTTAGGCAAGTAAGGATGGTCTTTCTCATGGATTGTTAGACCTTTTATTATAGGCTGTCTAGCTACATTGATAATGCATTACCATTTAGTAGTTGGACTGATCCTTTCCATAGTCAGTCAACCATGCATGCATGTTGAGCTGACCCTGTACTTACAAAGACACCCTCTTTCCATCCACTAGATGAAAGCGCCGGAGGGCAGTGATGACGATGATGATGACTTTGAAGAGGTGCCGGAGAAGGAGGGTTTTGAACCACACATTCCAGACCATCTACGGGAGGAGTACGGTGAGTTTGCTCAGCTGCAGAGCACCAGGGGCAGGTGCATACACAACAGGGTCACAGTCAAACAAACAGCAAGATAATAAAGGGACATCCCAGTAAGCTCTCACCCTCGCCTCAGGATATCACCGCACACACACATCACCAAATACTGATTGGACTGGTTCAGATAAACATGAGGAAGGTGCCAAAGAATGCCTCTAAAAGCTGGTTTGTTTGTAGAGTGATTGTTTAAAGCCCAACGTGTGCAATGTTGGTAAAGGTCATAGGTTAGGCCTCAGAGTGTGTCTGACCTAAGATGAGGCACGTTCCTGGCTGGTTTTAACTTCAGATGTTCAAAAGTACTTCAGCATTGAACTCAATTATCCAAACTGCTCGCTAATGGTAAGTAACATAATTGCTCATTTACCTGTGCAAAATCCCCTTATATGATTTATGACCGTTGTTCTATAAAATGTCTTCCATGGCTGACAGCAAACCGGTTTGTTCCAGTTCTATAACCAGAAGATCATTTTCCCAGTCTGTGTGATTGCTAATGGTATCAATATTGATATATGGTTGCAAGGCTGTAACAAAACGGGCCATGCACAAAGGTCAGAGGTTGTCTGTAATGCAAGTGGATTATAACACCCTTGTCTCCAACTGACACTTTGTCATAAAAGTTGACAAAGGGGCAATCTGCAACTGCTACATCAATTTGTTTTACTTTCAAGTTAGTGATATACACCCATTGATTCTTGAAGAATATAACTTAGTTCAATTGTCGTATTCCATCAGAACCCAAAATATAAGCTTGTCTTTTTTTTGTAAACAATGCAAACACTGTATAGCCTCAACATGGATGGTCAGTCCTTGCATCCAAAGCTCTGTCTATGGATTTGAGGGGTTACATTTCTCCAGCTCCATCACTCAGCTATTTGCCGCTTTGTTGTTGTTTGAACTGAAGATTTCCCGTTTTATACCAGCTGGCTAAAGAAGATCAAAGTGAATGGTTTCTGGACATCTTGTTTCAATAAACATTATATGCTCAGATTCAGCCTTAAATTCATGTTTTAGGTTCACATTACATTTTCCACCTAATTCCTCGTCATCACATTTTCAAATGAAACTGACCATGAATTAGATTTGTTGTCTGATTAGCCCTAAAACCGTCCTCCGCGTGTGTTGTCCAGTGATTGCATTATTTAATTTAATGTTCTGAAAGTGAATAGGAACCAGCCTACAAAAGTCTCCAGCATGGCCGGGCAGGCTGCTTTGAAGAGTGATCTATGTAGTGATTTGTAGAACCCAAGGAAAATTAACAATGCAATGCTGTTAATGAGCTCCTATTAGCCCAGCGCTGTAATTTACAACATCCACCTGGTCTCAGTCTCTCTGTAGGGGGCTAGACCACAGGGAGCGGGGAGGGAGATGGGAGGGAGAGAGCATCCTCCCTAGTCTCTGTAGGGGGCTAGACCACAGGGACAGACAGGGAGATGGGAGGGAGAGAGCATGCTTCCTAGTCTCTGTAGGGGGCTAGACCACAGGGAGTGGGGAGGGAGAGAGCATCCTCCCTAGCACAGCAAGGCTGAGGTGAACTCTCACACACACACTCATAAGTTTCTTTGTGACTTACATAAGGGATATCTCCTCATTGAATTGGAAGCAGTCCTGCTGTGGGTAAATAATTATGATTTGGTCCCAGAATTAATCTGGCAAAGTAGTATTTTTAGTGGTACTAAATGTGATGTATTTAGTACCCGTGTTTTGACTGGATCTCCATTGATTTTGGCTTAAGGACTTTAACGGCACATTGTAGATGTTTCTCCTGGCTGCTTTAGATGTTTTCTCAGATACCTCAGGGATGTGGTACACATGAAACTAGTCCAATGGAACAAGGCAAAATAAAGATTCAGTTTTAGGACAAAAATAATATTTGCAGCCCTGGTGTAATCAACAGTAAAAACATACAAAATAAAATACTATTTTAGAAAGAAAAAAAAGAAAGTAAAATACAGAGAATAGTTTGGTGAATATGCACTGTGTTTTCTCAATTTCATTTGAATTTATCAGACCAGTCTGTCAAATACGTCAACCCCAAAACGTGACGTTGACCCTCTTACTCTCTCACTCCTCTTTCTCTCTCACACTTTCTCTCACTCCTCTTTCTCTCTCACTCTTCTTTCTCTCTCACTTTCTCTCTCACTACTCTTTCTCTCGCACTCCTCTTTCTCTCTCACTCCTTTCTCTCTCACTCCTCCTTCTCTCACACTTTCTCTCACCCCTCTCTCTCTCTCTCTCACACCTCTTTCTCTCTCACTCCTCTTTCTCTATCCATTCTCTCCACTGCTCTTTTATCTATCCCTTTATCCCAGCAGTCCTGTCAGGACGTTATCTCTTTCTCAAATTTACATTTTAATTACAAGGCCTGCTGAACTCAGGAAAATCAATATAGCCACCATTGGCAGCACAGCGCCATGTCTCCCTGCTGCTAGACCTCTCTATTTGCTATTATTGATTTATCTCTTTAACACCTGCAACTTTATTGCTTCAGACAAATAGCTACCATTTTGGTCAATTTGAACAGAAAAAGAAAGGATTTGGTAGTATTTCACAATTCCTCAGATGGGGTTTTTGCACGGAACGATGCAAAGGGAGAGGCTTACGCCATGCAGAGAATGGGCTCTCTGAGGAGGAAGGAGACGTGCCTCTGACCAACATTACATTCTCTTTTATTCACCTTTTCTCCTTTTTCTCGTTGGGGGGAGGGGGGAATTGTTTAGGTGTATTATTTTCACAAATACATTTGTGTAATTAATAATGTTTATTAATTCCAAAGGATTTTCTAATGTATCTGGTCTGTTACTAGGAGTGGAGATGAAGATGCGGTTAGATGCTTACACACATAGCTGTAAGGTAACTCCCACTTTGTCCTCTGTGAGGTAACAACTGCTTTTTAAACATTTTTAATTTATTTGTTTTAATAAGTTTAAGTTGTCCCAGTGTGGGGCTGGGGCAGGTGCGGCTTAGAGCGGAGCTGTGATCTCTCTTCCAGCTTTAAGCTCAGTCTGACCCTCATAGAGCCCCTCCCTGCCCACCCAGGAGGCTAACGCACCGCGGCAGAGCCACTCCTCCACTCCACTCTGCCCTGGCCTTCACTTCATAACTGGCTTAGCATCACCTACAGCAGGTGTGGGCAACATCTCGAGGCTTCAGGGCCACATGGGGATTTAGAAAATCAACGGAGGGCCACACAGATGTTTTTATGATCAATTTGTTCTTGGAGAGGCTGTGGATGTTGACAATAAAAGCGTGTTTAAAAGGACAGTCGTATGTTTTCCAAGAGGCTAGGGAAATAAATAGCTGTCCCACAAGACTATTTTAGCTGAGCAGTGAGCACACAGCACTAAAGCAGTAGAATGTGTTTGATAAATCCGTACATATAAAAAGTATTTGGAAGTCCTTGACGTAATATGTAATGTATGGACACACTACTCTGCTGGTTATTCCAGGTTTGGAGCCATCCCCATCTACCTATGTGGCCAGTAAGAAGCCAGTCCAGCCTCCAGTGAAGTGTCCTGCACCAGGAACCTCTCACACCTTCTCCAGACCCAGGAAGAGAGCCACGGACGAGGAGCAGGATCCCACCTGTGCAGCCGCCACACTCCGCCTCTTCAAGCAACGCCTCCTACCCCAGGCACCTAGCACCAGGTGACCCCTCCCTGCTTTACTTCATAACTCTTGATGTTTATTGCACTATCCTGTTCTATTTCAACTCCATTGTATCGTTCCACATGAATTGGGATTTGGGACGGCTACTTTGGAAATATGTCTGTCACAACCAAAGAAAAGAACCACAGCCTCAACCACTTGTAAGTGCTGTTTTCCATCTCTCTCTAGCTCTGCAGCAGGAGGTCATGTGGACCCCACAGACCAGGCTAGTGACCCCAGTGAGGAGAGGGACAAAGCTCCAGTCATCCCCTTTGGTCTGGACCTCTACTACTGGGGAGAGGAGCAACCCACTGCAGGCAAAATCATCAAGTACATACAGACTCACAACTTCGTCAATGACTAGCATGTTTTATTGAGAATACATTGAAATGGTTCAACTACTGCACAGAACTTAACTTTTCAAGTTTTCATTGGTGTTGATATGGCCACTAGAGAGCACTGTTGTATGTTCAGAGGCACTGTAAAGCTGTTATTAGAGATAAACAGTGTTATGAGTTATGAAAAGAGACTCTCCCATAATACTTCCAACTAAATTCTCAGCTAATAGCTATAACATTGCTACAGATTGATATTAATAAAGAGCCGGTCAGTGTAAATGGACAGTTCTTCACACCCCTCCCTCTATCCTGGTGTCCAGGAATAGCTCCCAGCACCAGTTCTGGGTTCCCAACGAGGTAGAGGAGGAGGTGGAGAATAAGGAACTGGCTGCCCAGATGAAGTCCAGGTACATCACGTTCGCTGGTCGCTTCCAGCCCGTCAAGCACAGGTGCAAAGCCCCCATGCACAACGGAGCCCTCTGTGAACGCCAGGACCGAGTCAAGGTGAGCGTTTAAGTTTTTGGTGAAAGTATTACAACTGTCATTGTAATTTCTATTTTTGTGTGTGTATATATATATATATATATATATATATATATATATATATATATATATATATACAGTGGGGAGAACAAGTATTTGATACACTGCCGATTTTGCAGGTTTTCCTACTTACAAAGCATGTAGAGGTCTGTAATTTTTTATCATAGGTACACTTCAACTGTGAGAGACGGAATCTAAAACAAAAATCCAGAAAATCACATTGTATGATTTTTAAGTAATTAATTTGCATTTTATTGCATGACATAAGTATTTGATACATCAGAAAAGCAGAACTTAATATTTGGTACAGAAACCTTTTTTTGCAATTACAGAGATCATACGTTTCCTGTAGGTCTTGACCAGGTTTGCACACACTGCAGCAGGGATTTTGGCCCACTCCTCCATACAGACCTTCTCAAGATCCTTCAGGTTTCGGGGCTATCGCTGGGCAATACGGACTTTCAGCTCCCTCCAAAGATTTTCTATTGGGTTCAGGTCTGGAGACTGGCTAGGCCACTCCAGGACCTTGAGATGCTTCTTACGGAGACAATCCTTAGTTGCCCTGGCTTTTTGTTTCCGGTCGTTGTCATGCTGGAAGACCCAGCCACGACCCATCTTCAATGCTCTTACTGAGGGAAGGAGGTTGTTGGCCAAGATCTCGCAATACATGGCCCCATCCATCCTCCCCTCAATAAGGTGCAGTCGTCCTGTCCCTTTTGCAGAAAAGCATCCCCAAAAAATGATGTTTCCACCTCCATGCTTCACGGTTGGGATGGTGTTCTTGGGGTTGTACTCATCCTTCTTCTTCCTCCAAACACGGCGAGTGGAGTTTAGACCAAAAAGCTCTATTTTTGTCTCATCAGACCACATGACCTTCTCCTATTCCTCCTCTGGATCATCCAGATGGTCATTGGCAAACTTCAGACGGGCCTGGACATGCGCTGGCTTGAGCAGGGGGACCTTGTGTGCGCTGCAGGATTTTAATCCATGACGGTGTAGTGTGTTACTAATGGTTTTCTTTGAGACTGTGGTCCCAGCTCTCTTCAGGTCATTGACCAGGTCCTGCCATGTAGTTCTGGGCTGATCCCTCACCTTCCTCATGATCATTGATGCCCCACGAGGTGAGATCTTGCATGGAGCACCAGACCGAGGGTGATTGACCGTCATCTTGAACTTCTTCCATTTTCTAATAATTGCGCCAACAGTTGTTGCCTTCTCACCAAGCTGCTTGCCTATTGTCCTGTAGCCCATCCCAGCCTTGTGCAGGTCTACAATTTTATCCCTGATGTCCTTACACAGCTCTCTGGTCTTGGCCATTGTGGAGAGGTTGGAGTCTGTTTGATTGAGTGTGTGGACAGGTCTCTTTTATACAGGTAACGAGTTCAAACAGGTGCAGTTAATACAGGTAATGAGTGGAGAACAGGAGGGCTTTCTAAAGAAAAACTAACAGTTCTTTGAGAGCCGGAATTCTTACTGGTTGGTAGGTAATCAAATACTTATGTCATGCAATAAAATGCAAATTAATTACTTAAAAATCATACAATGTGATTTTCTGGATTTTTGTTTTAGATTCCATCTCTCACAGTTGAAGTGTACATATGATAAAAATTACAGACCTCTACATGCTTTGTAAGTAGGAAAACCTGCAAAATCGGCAGTGTATCAAATACTTGTTCTCCCCACTGTGTATATATATATATATATATATATATATATATATATATATATATATACATACATACATATACATACAGTCGTGGTCAAAAGCTTTGAGATTGACACAAGTATTGGTCTTCACAAAGTAGAGATATTTTTATCAGATGTTACTATGGTATACTGAAGTATAATTACAAGCATTCCATAAGTGTCAAAGGCTTTTATTGACAATTACATTAAGTTTATGCAAAGAGTCAATATTTGCAGTGTTGACCCTTCTTTTTCAAGACCTCTGCAATCCGCCCTGGCATGCTGTCAATTAACTTCTGGGCCACATCCTGACTGACGGCAGCCCATTCTTGCATAATCAATGCTTTGAGTTTGTCAGAATTTGTGGGTTTTTGTTTGTCCACCTGCCTCTTGAGGATCGACCACAAGTTCTCAATGGGATTAAGGTCTGGGGAGTTTCCTGGCCATGGACCCAAAATTTCGATGTTTTGTTCCCCGAGCCACTTAGTTATCACTTTTGCCTTATGGTAAGGTACTCCATCATGCTGGAAAAGGCATTGGTCGTCACCAAACTGTTCTTGGATGGTTGGGAGAAGTTGCTCTCGGAGGATGTGTTGGTACCATTCTTTATTCATGGCTGTGTTCTTAGGCAAAATTGTGAGTGAGTCCACTCCCTTGGCTGAGAAGCAACCCCACACATGAATGGTCTCAGGATGCTTTACTGTTGGCATGACACAGGACTGATGGTAGCGCTCACCTTGTCTTCTCCGGACAAGGTGTTTTCCGGATGCCCCAAACAATCGGAAAGGGGATTCATCAGAGAAAATGACTTTACCCCAGTCCTCAGCAATCCAATCCCTGTACCTTTTGCAGAATATCAGTCTGTCCCTGATGTTTTTCCTGGAGAGAAGTGGCTTCTTTGCTGCCCTTCTTGACACCAGGCCATCCTCCAAAAGTCTTCGTCTCACTGTGCGTACAGATGCACTCACACCTGCTTGTGCCATTCCTGAGCAAGCTCTGCACTGGTGGTGCCCCGATCCCGCATCTGAATCAACTTTAGGAGACGGTCCTGGCACTTGCTGGACTTTCTTGGGCGCCCTGACTCCTTCTTCACAACAATTGAACCTCTCTCCTTGAAGTTCTTGATGATCCGAAAAATGGTTGATTTAGGTGCAATCTTACTAGCAGCAATATCCTTGCCTGTGAAGCCCTTTTTGTGCAAAGCAATGATGACGGCACGTGTTTCCTTGCAGGTAACCATGGTTAACAGAGGAAGAACAATGATTTCAAGCACCACCCTCCTTTTCAAATCAAATTTTATTGGCCACATGCGCCGAATACAACAGGTGCAGACATTACAGTGAAATGCTTACTTACAGCCCTTAACCAACAGTGCATTTATTTTTAATTAAAAAAAGTAAAATAAATCCACAACAAAAAAGTGTTGAGAAAAAAAGAGCAGAAGTACCAGGCGGTGATGCAACCAGTCAGGATGCTCTCGATGGTGCAGCTGTATAATTTTTTGAGGATCTGAGGACCCATGCCAAATCTTTTCAGTCTCCTGAGGGGGAATAGGCTTTGTCGTGCCCTCTTCACGACTGTCTTGGTGTGTTTGGACCATGATAGTTTGTTGGTGATGTGGACACCAAGGAACTTGAAGCTCTCAACCTGTTCCACTACAGCCCCGTCAATGAGAATGGGGACGTGCTCAGTCCTCTTTTTTTTCCTGTAGTCCACAATCATCTCCTTTGTCTTGGTCAGGTTGAGGGAGAGGTTGTTATCCTGGCACCACACGGCCAGGTCTCTGACCTCCTCCCTATAGGCTGTCTCATCGTTGTCGGTGATCAGGCCTACCACTGTTGTGTCGTCGGCAAACTTAATGATGGTGTTGGAGTCGTGCCTGGCCATGCAGTCATGGGTGAACAGGGAGTACAGGAGGGGACTGAGCACGCACCGCTGAGGGGCCCCTGTGTTGAGGATCAGTGTGGCAGATGTGTTGTTACCAACCCTTACCACCTGGGGGCGGCCCGTCAGGAAGTCCAGGATCCAGTTGCAGAGGGAGGTGTTTAGTCCCAGGATCCTTAGCTTAGTGATGAGCTTTGAGGGCACTATGGTGTTGAATGCTGAGCTGTAGTCAATGAATAGCATTCTCACGTAGGTGTTCCTCTTGTCCAGGTGGGAAAGGGCAGTGTGGAGTGCAATAGAGATTGCATCATCTGTGGATCTGTTGGGGCGGTATGCAAAGTGGAGTGGGTCTAGAGTTTCTGGGATAATGGTGTTGATGTGAGCCATGACCAGCCTTTCAAAGCACGTCAGTGCTACGGGTCGGTAGTCATTTAGGCAGGTTATCTTAGTGTCCTTGGGCACGGGGACTATGGTGGTCTGCTTGAAACATGTTGGTATTACAGACTCAGTCAGGGACATGTTGAAAATGTCAGTGAAGACACTTGCCAGTTGGTCAGCACATGCTCGGAGTACACGTCCTGGTAATCCGTCTGGCTCTGCGGCCTTGTGAATGTTGACCTGCTTAAAAGTCTTACTCACATCGGCTACGGAGAGCGTGATCACATAGTCATCTGGAACAGCTGGTGCTCTCATGCATGCTTCAGTGTTGCTTGCCTCGAAGCGAGCATAGAAGTGGTTTAGCTCGTCTGAAAGTCTTGTGTCACTGGGCAGTTCGCGGCTGTGCTTCCCTTTGTAGTCTGTAATAGTTTTCAAGCCCTGCCACATCCGACGAGCGTCAGAGCCGGTGTAGTACGATTCAATCTTAGTCCTGTATTGACTTTTAAAGCTTCCAGTCTGTTATTCTAACTCAATCAGCATGACAGAGTGATCTCCAGCCTTGTCCTCGTCAACACTCTCACCTGTGTTAACAAGAGAATCACTGACATGATGGCAGCTGGTCCTTTTGTGGCAGGGCTGAAATGCAGTGGAATTTTTGGGGGGGGATTAAGTTCATTTTCATGGCAAACAGGGACTTTGCAATTAATTGCAATTCATCTGATCACTCTTCATGACATTCTGGAGTATATGCAAATTTCCATCATCAAAACTGAGGCAGCAGACTTTGTGAAAATTAGTATTTGTGTCATTCTCAAAACTTTTGACCACGATTGTATATATAAATTATATTCTTTTTTTTGTATATATTCTACAAATAATAATTTTACACATACAGGTAAGTGAAGCTTTGCAGTTAGGCAGAATTAGAGTGAAAGTGACGTGTAGAGGATCGTTGTTGTTGATGTGGCCAGGAATGTTGTCTGATTCCCATAGTGTCCTTTCCATGGGCTGATCATCCCACGAGACGAGCTGGGAAAACCCACCAACCCAGAGGACGCTGTGCGGCTGGAGAAAGAGGAGTGGAAACGCAGAGAGAACCAGCCTGGTGAGGGACATAGGATGGGTCCTATTAGATACTTCAATTCCAAAAAACTACAACTGAAAAAACCCTTTGTATAATTCTCTAGCTCACAGCGGTCAGTAAGATGGCACTAAGCAATATGCAAAAAAATCTGATGGTGTTGATAGGTTCCCTTTCATAAAGGTCTTACTAATATCTGCCCTGTGCAGTAGCAGCTCTCTCTGGTCTAGTCTGTGGTAAAGAAGGAGAGATAATGGAAGCACTTCCTGCGTCTGACTCCTCCCTCAGAACTCTCCATCACTCCCAGTCCCAGCCTCCCTCAGAACTGTCCATCACTCCCATCCCATCACACATTGACAGGAGTAAGACGGCACCAGAGTCAGGGAGCCAGGGGGACCACAGCACGGGGATGAGGAGAAGATGAATTGATGGAATCACAGTCATCATCAATACCCCTGATAATGTGCTGTGCTGCTGTGTCTGGCTCTGGGCTCTCTCTTTCTCTCTCCTGGAGGCTGCACTAAAAGCCAATTAAGGGTGTGTTGGCTGCTGCCAGCGGGGCGTCGGATGTGCTTTCTCTGCCTGCAGTCACTTGTTAACAAACAGGTATCGGGGCCAGCTGACTCGGGCGGCCGCTGGCCACTGGCTTGTGAAATAGCATATTTTGTAACTAACTACGCTATTGATCCCCCACTCCGTCAGCCCTGTAGACCCATCCAGACACTGCCACACAGTATGTCTTTGGCTCTATGGCCACAGTGGCTCAGCTCAGTACAGCAGCAAGCCGGCCCGTCAGGCCACCCACCAGCCCACCCGCTCTATAAGGACCTGCAGAGGTCCATCAATCCTCTCTGCCTGCCTGGTCACTCCACTCACTCTCATAGGGGACTATTGATTTTTCCTCTTAACGCCCTCATAGTTTCTTAGTGTGGCTCCACACGCTCATAGGTTGTTTTGGATTCTATATGAAGTAACCGATGTCAGGGTCTCTGACTGTTGTCAGGCAGTAACAGAGATAGACCCTGGCTTGTAGACATTGCAGCACTTTTATCTTTCGATGCCAATTCTATCCTTAATATTAACTCCATTGTCTAACCATTCCATACTCTCAAAATAGGTTTGGCCAGGCTATGATAGATGATCAAGTTAACGCTGTTACAATTGCATGTTGAAGATGTCTGAGAGAAACAGTTACGGTTCATGATCAGTCTTTGCACATTAAGGTATAAGTAGATTTTAATTAGAGTTCCCAATTATAGTCATGACAATTAGTTAATTTGCCATGTGGCTCACGATGGCTCACACTGAATTTAGCAATATAGTTAGCCAGAATATTTGATTAATGATACTCCAGGCTTGTATTGAGGAGTTATTTCAACACAGTTATTATAGCAGCTATTTCCCCACTCTAAAACCACTAGGTTATCCCCTTGAAATTACATTTACATCAGCGAAGTCGTTCAAAAAGCACAGTCTCAAACAGTGTATGTTTTTTGTGTGATTACGGTAGCGTAAGCGCAGGGTACCTCAACCGTCTGTAGGTCCAGGCCAGGGCTACTCCCGAGGCTCTGTCTGTGTGGAGTGTCAGTCCAGGCTCCCAACTGCCTGTGTGGTGGTGTGTGTGTGTGGTATGGAGTGTCTGTGGTGGGTGGACGACCACAGCTGGAGTGGATGCGAGGCTGTTGACAGAGAAAAGGCCCCTGCTGCAGGGGCTTCAGACAGCTTAACTTAATAAGGGTTCTCCTTCTCCCATCCTGGGGATGGGAATGAAAGCACACAAAAGGCAGGACTTAACCACAGAGGGATCACAGGGCTCATGTAATAGGGGGCTTTCACCATCCCTTCCCAGGGGAGACGAACACCCCCCCCCCCACCACACAATTAATTTGTAACTAAAATTGGTGCCCCTTTTTTACAGGCTCTCACATGTCGCTCTCAGGGGTGATTGAGGTGAGCCCTAACGCGGGGGGGCAAAATACCAAACATTTTTTCAATTATTTTCTCGTTTGTTGTCGTTATGAGGCTGAGTTGATGGTGCAGTTAACCTATTCCATCAAGGTCAGACGTAGCTTTGGAGTGGACCATCACAGCCATGATTAATCCCTCAAACCATCACCATCCTCCTGTAGGACCTTGGAACACATAGTGTCTGTTTGGGCCCTGGGCTGGCAGCATGTCTCTGACGCAGCCTCTTAGAGCCTCATCAGGTCTTCAACACTGTGTTGTCTGTAGGAGGCATTTTAACATTGACCTTTATTTAAAACCAGAATCCAGTATTTCTATTTGGTTGTCTTTTCAATGTGTCCTGTATTTCAATGTTTGGACATGCTCGTCTTCCGGTCCATCCAAGTGTTGCAGTAAATGGATGTTCATGTAATGTTTAGGTCTGAGTGTCTACCGCCTGCAGACTACACACCATGTTTAGGTCTGGTAATGCTCCTTTCTTTGATTGTTTAGACTGGCGGGACCCTGAGTTGATGAGGGACATAGAGCTTGCCACTGGGGAGGACCTGGGGTCCTCCAAAACCTTTGGGAAGGGCAAGAAATGCAAGGGGAAGGGCAAGAAGAAGAAGTACCCCAACCTCAGTGATCTGAAGAAGAGTGTCAACACTTCACGCTCCAGACTAGAGAGGAAGGTTTTCAACCCGTAAGTACTGCAACAAGTGTCTGTCTCGTGTCTTTAACACAGATCAAGTAGTACCCCACATCACAAGTCATCCCCAACACAATGGATGCATGACCTTACACTCACTAGACGGTGGGTGTTTAATAGATGTCATGATAGATGTATTATTTAAAAATATGTACTGTAACCTTGTTGCACTTGGCTTCATCGTCCCATGCGTAACTCTTTACTTGTTCATGTACTGTATAGTTTCAAATTCCCATGTGCATTTGAGAGGATTAATGATTATTCAAAACTCACCTTAACACTTACTGTAGGATAACTGGTGTTCATGATAGGACGTATCCATTATTAAACACCAGTCATTCTAAACCTTTCCTACTTTCTTTTTCAGGAGCTCCATGAGGCGAGTGACAGATGTCATGAATAAAATGGACAAATTGAAACACGCAAAGTTTGCAAACCAATTTAATTATGCACTGAATTAACAGGAAGTTGAGGAGGCCAGTGGATTTTGTGGCAGAAATATAATCCTCATCTACATGTACTGGTAGAAATGACTATGGAAATGTCTACTACATTCACACGCACATCTCATTTCCATGTAACAAGATAATGTTGAATTACCTCACATTTATGCTTTCTATTTTGTAAAAAAACAAAACATGTTTTGATATGTTTTTATGAAATAATTTGTCAAATCATGTTATTTGTTGATTTATGTGTAACATAAGGGAAAATGCAGTGGCAATCTTTGTCACCAGTTAGCTATTTACACTTAATGTAGTCTACCCTTGTAATTTTCAATGGCAGAACTCTCAGAACTCTTTTTACAGCTTTTTGCACTGTAACTATTTTTCCAATATCTCTTTTCTAATTATCACAACCATTGAGTGCTTAATGTATCAATGCTATTATGTGGAAGTGGTAACCGAAATTGAAACCGTTGTGGATGACAGGCAGCTTTTAACCAATGTTGCTCTTGACTCCCATACAGTCCTGTGTCTGAGTTTGAAAGCACTGTAGGGGCTTATAGAAACTTCTATAGGTTGCCAATAGCTGCTCTGCATCAGCCCTCTCTGGAGTGATAGAGAAAGACAGCCTATTCACCTCACATAATATCTTATATATTTGCTTATAATATTTTTTCTCTGATATGTAGTAGTAGTATGTTGATGATAGTGAATGTTCTTGTGTTGGATTAGTGAATGTTGATTGCAAGGAGGGATATCTTCAGGCTCTGTTGTTGGGCTATTTTGGTTCAGGCAGGCAGCAATTGGGCAGGTGGGAGACATTAAAAAGTGAATGTTGAGCTTTGATTGGTCAGGGTACTGTCTACTAGTCATTGGGAGCACATTAAGCTGATTGGTTGCACATAAGCTATGGTTCTTTAATATTGAAACCGTATTTTACAAACCCGGGATAAAGGTTTACCTCATTCAGTCCACTGTGCCAGCTGCTGAAGTATTATTTGATGAGCCCCAACTTGAGCCTTTTTTTTCTATTTGGGCTTGTCACAGCGAATTTGCTTGCATTATTGTTTACATAACATCTGAAAATCTACTTTATAAAAATGTTAAAAATAAGAATCCCCTTCTAGCTCCCTACATCACTGGAAAGTTACCCAGGGATTCAACATGCGGCTGGAATGTCATATTTTTAATGACCGAGCGAGTGTCTGCTTGAGTCATGCATTTCAAAACAAGAATTTCCTGGTAAAATAATCATAATAATAACCTACAAATTCATAGATATTGTTTTACTCTTTTAGATGTTTTGTTTAGCTTATGCCTACGTTCACTAGTAGGTATATCTATGCTAATTGTCATGTTATTATTACATAAAATAACTGATATCAATATCCTGTCGTTAATATTATTTAACATAATAATTACACTATTGCCTATGAGACCATTCAAACGAAAGTAAGAATTTTTTTGGCACAAATGTCGCGCAGTGCGGAGTCCACTGCAATGGGAAATCCAAATTAATTTAATGATTTGACTGCAAAACGTGTCGAATATAATATTTACATAACCTTTTTTGTCCAACATAATGCTCCAAGACTCGGACTTGATGAAAACAGCTGGCAGAACAAATAAATACCCTCCATTTGGCTATGCTACTTTCTGCAACGGTCGGGTATGTGCGGCCCAATTTCAATGCACCCCATGCACTAAATAATGCCGCCATCTTTACATTTGTTTTAGACTATCTACAAAGGCTATATCAGGCTACGTCGTATCATGCTTTTACGTTTGGCCATACCTGCATGTGAAATTCTAGAATGATTCCAGGAGCATGTTCCATCATTGCTGGCATGTGCCATTTCATCACCATTTTGGAGAATCGGTTAGGGACAGACCACAGACTATTCCTATCCGAAGCGAAGTAGTAATCAGGTCTAAAATAATATAAATAAATGCTGTATCCTCACAAATTCAATAAAACTATACTTTCAAATATTGTAGAATAGACTTATAACTTGCATCGATCGCGCAAAACTTGCACAATTGACTGGATAGTTTTTGCACTTTTAAAGTAGCCCTAGGCCTATTCAAATGCACCTCCTTATCACAGACGGCAAAAACATTTGAAAAAGTTGCTGAAACACAATGTATTTTGTTAGGCATCTAATAATTAACTCCTTCAAATATTCCATAGCCTACATTATGTTTTACGCACAAGCACATTAGGCTATCGGGAATTTGGCATACAGTTCTTCCACAATGAAACATGGTTTCTCTTATTAGTTTTAAAGTCAAAACCCCTCTTAGAAAGGGCATGTCTGAGAAGACAGTCTGCAGCCTATAATGTTGTGAAACAAGTTGGCGTTTAAATTACCAATGATTGTTTTTCCTCATCAATAATCGATTCAGGGAGCCGTTGTCAAATGTCTTATTAATAATTCCCCAAATCAGTAAATCCAAGAAGATACATGCTGAATACAATTGTAGACCTAAACACCATAGGCATATGCAACGGGTGCAATAGCCAATAACATACTATTTTGGGGTAAGTTAATTCAATTAATAAAAGTTAGGCTATAGAAATGAGCCATGACGGATCCAGCAATAGGCATATGGGCTATGTATTTTTCAAAATCTCCTATATTTTTTCCGCGCAAGAGTGTTATAGTTTTAAAGTTATGTTTTTTTTGTTGGAAGAAAATACAACATATGGCCTAATAACATCGGGTGGCAAAAAAATAATAACTGGAGTTAACCATTTCATTAAAGAAGGGTGAAAAGACGCTATCTTCAGTTCCAAAATGTCCTTTAATTTGGTGTAAAGGAAACAATAATAATTTGACTGATAAGAAAGAAGATATTATTTATTTAATATTCATATTAAAGTAGCTTATTCGTTAGTAAATGATAACCTATTGTTTTATTGTTTTACTTTGTCTTAGACTATAAAAGACGAATCCAGATGAAATGAGCATTCATTAGAGACAAATATTCTCAGGTAGATTAACTAATAATATTAATAACTATAGGCCTATATAATAAATTACTAGGGAAAACAATCATATTTAACTTTCACAGTTTAGTTACACAGTAATTACAATATGTCCAGATGTAAATGAACGATATTGATATGCGTCATGTAGGCCTATTTTTTTCAACTCTAATATTTATTAACTGCATTCGAAATTAGAAGCTAGACATATATTTGTCAACATCTGTATGTACATTTTGACCCCGAGTATTCACATTCTATCAAAATGAAAACAAAAGTCAAATACAACAAAATCTTATTTCCTTGGTAAAGGTAGATTTTCTTCGAGCACTTGTCCTTGACGAAACAACATGAAATGTTCTGAGTTCTTCACATATACAGCAAGTGCATTTTAGAAGTCTTTAGTTAAGGGCATGTCTTTAGTTCTCTAAAACCATACGTGTAATATGGTTATTAAATTCATACCTCATTGGAGTCAATTATTTTGATAATATCGGTGCATTTTAGACGCCTCCGAAAACATGATGTTTGGGCGCAAAAACCTATACGTATCTCCATATCTTTACAGGTGGGAAGTGTAAAACGCAGGTGCTCCGTAAGTCTGAGATCCTAACATGAAAGGTGACAGTACCGCATGACTTGGCAGAAAGGGTAATTGGGTGGTGCAGACTAGCCCGCCTGGTCCGTGACCTGGGTAGCCCGTGTGCATTGACAGATGGCTCATGGGAGGAGACTGGCTGAGTGGACTCAGGCTCCCTAGTCCATTGCCGTTCTGGCCCCCGCCTGTCGGGGCGCTGGTGTCTGCGCCAGGGTTTTGTTTCTTCCACTTGGTCCGTCGGTTCTGGAACCAGATTTTGACTTGGGTTTCAGTCAAACTGAGTGACAGTGCCAAATTGAGCCTCTCACACACGGAGAGGTATCGGGTGGACTTGAATTTGTTCTCCAGTGCAACAAGTTGTTCGTAAGTGAATGCTGTCCTTGCCCTTCGGGGCTTACCCGACTTTGAATCGGAGCCAGAGCGCTTTCTCTTCGGCTTTCCTTGATTACTTTGTCCATTCGACCCTGACTGTTGAGTTTGCTGTTCGCCAGGACTTCTTGGGCTCTTGCTCGCCTGGTCGTCGTCATCATGGTGTCCATGTTCCCCCTCTGCGTTTCCAGTTAGGGCGCTGCTGCTCTCCTCACTACACACGTCATCCTGCATCTCGCTGTCAGAGTGGGAGCCTCTTTTGAAATCATTCTCGCATTCGTCGGATCTGTAGGCACACATGAACCCCTCCTCTGCAAAGAAAAAAATACATGCCATTGAGTCATAAAAAAAAAAATCACATTAAGTCCAAGTCATTTAGACTGACAATATTCAATAACTTTACAAAGACTATATTGACTAGCCTAATTAACATAAGATTTGCTCAAGAAAATATGAAGTGATGAAAAATAATGCCAGCTAATGGATAACCTTTAACCTCCATAAATCACTTTTTAGGAAGGTGAGGATAAAGGTTGTTTTATCTCCACGCTGTGTATTTATGTAACCGAGCCTAATCCTGTATCAATAGCGTAAGGATGTATTACTGTTGGCCTAAATAATACGCTGCGTAAAATTTGGAAAGGACACAAACATCGTAATTCATGTTATCAATTGTATGTTAAGCTAACAATGAAATAGTGAAAACAGCTTTTGATATGGTCTACTTTCAGACACCTTTAAGAAAAATACTTGAGGAGGGCTAATCATTTTGGAAAATATTTAATATAATTTTGTAGCCCATATACGCTAAATATTCTAACATTGAATACATTTTCAAAATCCATTTACGTTATTGTGGAGTGGGTAACAGGTGCGCTACCTCGCTTTATTAGCTGGGTGCTCTGCCATATGTAAGCTATACAAATAGAGTCGCACTCTCTATATATATATATAAACTCCCAGTAATTTATTGGGTAAAAATATGTGACATTGACTTCAAATGAAATCCCAAATTCAAGAACATTGGGAAAAGGCAGAATAACATTTTTGTAGGCTAATGCGTTTCGGCAGTTATGCCTTCATCAGAGCATCAAGAGATGTGCCAAAGCAATTGTTTTTATGCAGGTGCCTATGGGATTTTTAGCCTACAAATGCCCACGCCTGTGTGAGGGCGGGGTTTGCATAGTGGTATTCAAAACATTACTCAACAAACAATTGTTACAATATATAGGCCTATACAAATACAAATATACAAATGCACAGATCAGCAGAATAAACTCGACAAAGAGCTTTTAAGTATCATGATGACATGTAGGAAATGTGAGATATGGTGGCTCAATTCGTTACTTCCTACAGCGCAATAAAGCCTGCAAAAATAGATGCTTTGGGGTCTGAAAAATAGACATCTGGATATAACGATTTTGATCGAATTCAGGAAAATATAGCCTACATGAGCGTGCATTCCAATGACAGCGCAGCCATATAGTCTACAAGTATGGCTGAATAAGAAATGATCGTTTAGACCTCGAGGATGCATGGTATTTAATCTATCAAGTCATTTACATTAGGCCTAAATTATTCAATAAGGTTTGTCAAACCTTTAAGGTTTGTTTGGTTCGATTTTAAGAGATGCAAGTTAAATAAATAAAGTCTCAATTATTTTCAGGAGTACCCCACAACATTCAAGTGCAGGCCACTTTTACGCACAAGCACCATCTTATGACAACAAAACAGTGCAATATGAACATAAAATAAAACTAATATTTGCATTAGCCTACTTACTTTTGAATTATTTAATCAATACTCATACATATCATGGGATTCATTTTCCCGTCAAGGCCTGCGCATCTTCAGCATTCTTTGTTGACACAATTTTGTCAATTTACTAAAGCCTGTTCATGTGATCGTCTACGGTTGGCTTTTGAAAAGGGTTTTAATGTTTATATTGGCAGCATAAACAATATCTCACTAATCCACATCATGTCTTCATGTTCAACTATTTTTATATAATATTAAGAACAATGTTTTTTTTTGTCTGTTGGTTTGTTAAGTTTGTCTATTTTTTAACCAGGTAGTCCATAACTAATCACCCCGACAACATGATAACCGTAGTGTCCTCTCCTTTGACTAGGTTAGGTTATATTTAAATGCATAGCCATTAAAGTGGTTACGGAGATCAATGTAGGCGTATCTAATTAATGAAATAATTGTTCCCTTTATTTCGTTGAAAAAATGACAGTGGGGGTGATGTGTTTATCTTATAGCAGCAGAGACAATCTTAATCGAGTGTCTTTTTTCTGGGATCAATATCTACCCTAATAAGTATAATAGGTTTTAATCGTGTAATTATCCGAATTTTGACCCTATAATTTAGTTGTTGAAGGAGTCAGGCAAGCTGCCTGAAAGAGATATACTCAATTCGATAATAGGATATCGACCTAGCCGCGTTCTGCATGCCACTCTGGGGCGATTTTCGCCATTATCCTGCTGCATCTTTAACCTCGCAAAGCACCTTTAATTAAACGTAATCGAAGGGTTTTAATTGTTTTTTCTTTAGATATTACAAGCATTTTTTTCTCTGGGGTAGCCTAAGGGACTGGGTGCATGGATGGAATATTACATATCCTGTAACCTAACCTCAGATATTATCATATTTATTTCTGAGTCAAAACTTATTTGAGCGGAAAAAAACGTTCCAGAATATAGAATACAAAGTTAGATGTGAAAAATACAAACTTTGGGACTCCTGGATCTAAAACAATTTGCCGGTCCCTCTAGCTTCTAAGACATAGGCTAGTGCTAGTCTATAAGGCAAACACTCATCAAGTTCTCTGTCTCGTTATGATCGACACAAATAGGCTTGACATGGTTTTTACAAGAATGTCACATTTGTCAGTAGGCTAATTGAGCAACTTCCTAAGACATCTATGTAGCCAACAAGAACCAAATGTAGTCTACCTTAGATGTCTATTTCAAATCTGATTTTTCAGAGATATGCATAGGCCTACAGCATAACAACAACACTGTTAGAAAACAAAATATACAAAAAACGAAAGATAAAAAAATAAACTTACTTAGTCCTGTAGATTTTTTACATGTGTCATAGTCGTCTGCATAAGACTTCTGCTCTACATCATGATTCGAGTCATCACCTCCACGGTTCTCTGTCCCGAAGGCGAATTCGCTGCCTGTTCGGTTAGGATTAGGCTTTTTGCTCGTAAACTTATTTGGGTCCAAAATGTCCAAAACCGAAAATGAAGTGGTCCGGTGAAGCATTGGCATTGCTACTGGAGCCGGTTCTTGAAGTGGAGAGTTGTTTCGACTGTCCGCTTGCAGTATGTCTCTACCCCCGGGGCAGGAAAACACCGACAGTGCGTTGGCAGCGAGCCGCTTCTCGCCGTGATTGTCCATGCTTTCCGGAGCGGCCACGACGATCACAGCTGTTTGGGCAGTCACACCGGACGCCGGCGGAGCAGCGACTGAGACGTCTCCCACCTGAACCTTTTCCCTGTTCATGATTTCCCTATCAGAGCTTTAGCACCAAGACAGTCAACTTAAGATTCTCTTACAACCGAAGAAGACATAATAGCCCATGCAATTTGAGAAAAGTAGGCTATAATGTCTGGAGCAGTATTCCTGCACAGCTTGCGTTGCCAGACCCCTCTACGGCTGCACTGCTCTGGTCTTTGTTACACACGGCTGACAACCAGGAGGTGATGGTTCACTGTTGGATGTTGGTCTCCCTTGCTCAACTCCTTTTTAGGGTTTGAACCATCCCCTCAGGACCCTCCAACGTTTATGTCATCCACGCACACCTCGCTCTCCCTCCCACCCTCGTTTAGTCGTCGCCAAAATTTAGACACAAGCTACGCCTTATTTATGCATTCATATTCAACTGTGGGTTGTAATTGGCTACAAATGAATCCCATGCCTCTAATAGCCTATTATCTCCGTCTTCGCGCGTGAGGGGTAACAGTGGAGCACATAGAGTGAGGGATGATACGGTTCCTGATGTACTCTATTTCAACTGAACTCCTGAACTGCATGGAAAGGCTCTAAATATGAATATTTTTACTTCCTCCTCGCCTATATTGGCCACTTTGAGGTTGTGACATTGATTGTTTTATTTCCAAGATCATAAGGCCATGATCTAACTTTTCCTCAGTATTCAGTGATCAAATGCAAGTTAAGGTTTTCAATGTAAAATCGGTAAAAAAAATTATCAAAGTCTAGGGAAGGCTATTATTATTATTATTATTATTAGGCTTATTGTTATTAGGGGATTATTGTTAGATGAGAAAGTTCAGATGAGAAAGATTCGTTATCTTTAATGCAAATTAAAGTGCACTTTCCAAAACTCAATTATGCATTGAATAAACTCAGTAATAGCCCTTTCAGTGAAATATTGATTTCTAATCTGAGATGCCATTATTATGCCAGAACAATAATAGGCCTAGACCAAATAATTGGATTTTGATTTAAAACACTATGTGTTTATTCTTATCTTGAACTTAATATTCCATTTACTTTCATTTAATGCACTCCTTAAAACAGTAGCCTATATTATGACAGACTTTATTTTAAAGAGAAAAAAACAAAAGAAGTGTGCCAAGGCTAACAAAATTGGATTTCCCTCGTCTGGGGGCTGATGACACATACAAGGTCAGTTTCTTTGCAATTACCGCGGGCAATGATCCTTTGGAAAGTAGAAATTAAAAGTTGTGGAAAATAATGGGTAAAACAATCAGCTGTAATTTTGGTAGGGATGAACATGATTATCCTATCAAAAGGGCAAGCCCAGGGGAGCTGGCTGGGACCCAGCCCTGCCCTCCACTCCGCTGCTATGGAGACTGACTGCTGCTGCTGCAGACTCCAGAGCAGGGTATGACGGCCAAGCTGTAATTGAACAGCTATTAGATGTTCTTTCATCTGATCTATGCTGTGTCCTAATAGTGGTTTGAATAGACTTTCTTTGACGTTTCATTATGTTTTCGAAGTTTATATGGCAAAATATGCTCACAATTGCCGTATATAGGACTATATTGGATAAATATAGGAGAAGTGATAGCCTACAGTTATTGTATAAAAAATAAATACAAAAAGTCTGACGATAGGCCTGTTTAGCCTAAACACGCAGCATACAAAAAAACGTTTCTCCCTGATATCTCTTTGAACAGATTTTTTAATAATGAGGTTGATGATAACAAAATAATAAACAACGATAGCTTAATAATGATTAAGCAGAATCATCCTCATCATCATATAGACCTATTTGACAGCTCTTATTCCCTGTTTCATCTAAACTGCTGCCGCCACAATGCTGTCACCTCGAGTTAGCCCAGATTATTTTCGCCAGTGGCACACCAGACACCACTGATATCTAACAATTTATAAAATATTTGTTTTTACTTGAATGTTTTGTCGTTGATTTTATCCTATAACAGAAAACCTAGGCTATTTTCATAGTGCCATGTAGGCCTGTGATACGCATTAATATTTCCCTGTGTTCCAACCTCTTGAACCTACACAATTAATTATATTGCAGCATCCGCGGGTCCTGTTGTCCCGTCGAACAGATTGAGGGGAGGTGGTGCCATAATTACAATTTCCATGTGCCTCAGTGTCCATTCTCCAAATGTAGATGTATAACGCTCGATAATTTGCATGTAAATAGTGTCTTTCAAGAGCTCCCTTTTGCAACACCCCGCGAGCTCATATAGCCTACTGCAGGCTCGCGCCTCCGTTCAGCCACTGAACTTTCGAAGAAGGAAGGGCCCATTACTTCGCGTGAATTACCGACAGTTACCTGTCAATTATCCGCGCGTTAATCACCCAAATTCAATCTCACGAAAACAGACTCTCTCTTCAACAGCAAAATGAGTCATCTGTCAACGTGAAAAACCAGTATGGTCCTTCCACAGACACCCCCAACCGCTGCAATGGTACAACAACAGCTGAATTAATAATAGGGTCATGCACCAGGCTCTGCCTGGGCTCTTCCGTCTATGGAAGTGTTCAGGTCCAGGTCAGGATCTGTTTTTTTGTGTAAGGAACATCAATTTACATTTGATTATAAAAATAGGGGAGACTGGGGATGGTTGTAACACTCTCAATATCACCAATCAGTAACAACCTAGAATCATGTGACTCACTCTGCACATGCTCAGTTTACATTTACATTTTAGTCATTTAGCAGACGCTCTTATCCAGAGCGACTTACAGTTAGTGAATACATCTTTTTTTTTATACTGGCCCCCCGTGGGAATCGAACCCACAACTCTGGCGTTGCAAATGCCATGCTCTATCAACTGAGCTATATCCCTGCCGGCCATTCCCTCCCCTACCCTGGACGACGCTGGGCCAATTGTGTGCCGCCCATGAGTCTCCCGGTCGCGGCCGGCTGCGACAGAGCCTGGATTCGAACCAGGATCTCTAGTGGCACAGTTAGCACTGCGATGCAGTGCCTTAGACCACTGCGCCACTCAGGAGTACAACCTGTCCTCAACCTTCATGAAGAAGCAAGACCCTGCAGATTTGATCTGATTTGGAGGTAAGAAAGTATTTATTTGAACCAAATGTGTTTTTGTGATGGCATCACCTGCTTTGTAGTTAGATTCACCAAACTTATATCAGGTTTATAACCAGTGTGTGTAGATATATTTTATGTAAGTTAGCAATGCTAAAGTTTAACATGTAGCTAAAATTGAAGCTAGCTAATGGCTGCAAGGGTCAGGGTTAGTTGTAACAAGCCTAAGGAGGTCTGGGTGCAGTGCTGGGAATGCAAATGATGGGCCCACCATACCTGTACCCCAGCACTACCATACCACTGTCACAACTGTGACTCTGAGTGAACATGTCCAACATTCACTCACTCACTCACTCACTCACTCACTCACTCACTCTCACACACACACGCACACACGCACTCACATACACACGTTTAGTTCAGATGTTGTTGTTTAGTTGGCAGATGTTGTTGTTTAGTTGAGAAGGGACCATTTAATGGAGCGTCAAAATAATACACATTTTATGATTTGTATTATAATTTTATTATTTCTGCCACACAAAATATGAAAAATTGCAATGTTGTTCTCATGTTCTCAATAAAGGCTTTCAATATTTCATTGCATGTCCTGATTTATGCATTTTTTCAAAATGTTACATTTTACCCCAAGTCCTGTTACCACTGACCATGGAGGTGGGGAAAATTGTAACATTTCACTCCTTGTATCTGAGACAGTCACACCTTGTCTGTTTGATTTAGAGAGATGATACCTATACCAATATGTAGCAGACAGATGGAAGTTGTTCCTATCACATATTGAATGTAGTAGCTCAAAGATCTCGGAGAAATCGACAAAAATGCAAAAAGTGGTATAACCATCCCCAGTCTCCCGTATGCTATTTGACTCACCCACTGTTACAATAAGCAGCATTCAAGCGGTTAGAGACTCCACATAATGATAGAATACACAGAATCCATATGCTAAGACTGTTATATGAGCAGTATTTCGAAATACATAGACTTACATTTGGTAAGATGGCTGAACCCATTTGTCTTACCATCTGAATGAATAAAAATACCAAATCTGACACTGAAAGAACAATGGTCAACATCCAATCAACATCCAATACCAAACATGAGGGGGCAAATCCTGAGAGGAGCCCAGGCTACCAGTGAGGGAGTTGGCATGGAAGACAGAGAGACTGGCATGGCTCCCTGTGAGAGTTGGCATGGAAGAGAGAGAGACTGGCATGGCTCCCTGTGGGAGTTGGCATGGAAGAGAGAGAGACTGGCATGGCTCCCTGTGGGAGTTGGCATGGAAGAGAGAGAGACTGGCATGGCTCCCTGTGAGAGTTGGCATGGAAGAGAGAGAGACTGGCATGGCTCCCTGTGGGAGTTGGCATAGAAGAGAGAGACTGGCATGGAAGAGATAGAGACTTGAGTGGAAGAGAGAGACTGGCATTAAAGAAAGAGAGACTGGCATGATAGAGAGAGACTGGCATTAAAGAGAGAGAGACTGGAATTAAAGAGAGAGACTGGCATTAAAGAAAGAGAGACTGGCATGATAGAGAGAGACTGGCATGATAGAAAGAGAGACTGGAATTAAAGAGAGAGAGACTGGCATGATATATAGAGAGAGACTGGCATGATAGAGAGAGAGAGACTGGCATGATAGAGAGAGAGACTGGCATGATAGAGAGAGACTGGCATGATAGAGAGAGAGACTGGTATGATGGAGATAGAGAGACTGGCATGATAGAGAGAGAGACTGGCATGATATAGAGATATACTGGCATGATAGAGAGAGAGACTAGCATGATAGAGAGAGACTGGCATGATAGAGAGAGAGACTGGCATGATAGAGAGAGAGACTGGCATGATAGAGAGAGAGACTGGCATGATAGAGAGACTGGCATGATAGAGAGAGACTGGCATGATAGAGAGAGAGACTGGCATGATAGAGAGAGACTGGCATGATAGAGAGAGAGGTTGGCATGATAGAGAGAGACTG